CTCGCTCATTCCGGAGTTTTTGTTAACTCGCCCTCGGAGGGTAATGTTTTGTTTGCTCGCCCCAGAGAGGAGTCTTTTATTTGCTCGTCGTAGAGGGAGTCTTTTGCTTGCTCGCCCTAGAAGGGAGTATTTTTTTTTAAGAAATTATGAGATTATAACATGTAAACAATCTCAATTAAAAATAAATTTTTATAAAATTAAATACCCGATGATTTGTTTGCTCAGCTTGGAGGAGATTTTTTTTTTGTTTGTCTTGGATGAAAGTCTATTATTTGTTTGCCTAGAAGAGGAGTCTTTTTTTTTTTTTTTTTGCTCACCCTGGGGGGGCGTATGTTATGTTATTTGCTCGTCCAAAAAGAGAGTCTTCTTTTTTCGCTTGTTCCGCAGGAGAGCCTTTTATTTGCTAGCCTCATATGAGTTATAGGTTTTTATGATGTCGATTTATGGTCTCCACTTTAATAGAAGAATTATAAGTCTTTATGGAACCTTTTTTTATTCATAGCTGGTTTTTTTTTTGTACATTTTCATCATCTATCTTCTTATCCAAACTGTTAGATTGTCTTGAGATTCATGCAAACTTATTTTGGGTGTACATACTAAATTCTCTAATTTTCTTGCTCCTTGATAGCAATAATTGTGAAATGAAATGACAAGAAAATTTTTAAAGCAAAAAATATGATTACATGATTTACTAATGAAACTCCCTATTTATGTGCTATCTGAAACTTTGTTTTGACATCTTTTGTGCTATCTCGTCAGCTTCAAAACGTTTTTATCCAAATCGACTTTTTGGTCGGAGCTTTGTTGAGATATTTTCTTGCATTGATTTGATTGTCCGTGTTGACTAGTGACCCGACTTCTAGGGATATCACTAGTGGTGATATCTTTCAACTCAAATCTTAGTCTTTGCCCATCCCATCTGTTAGATCGAACCATCGGTTGCTCGCTCATTCCAGAGTTTTCGTTTACTCGCCCTCAAAGGGTAGTGTTTTGTTTGCTCGCCCCAGAGGGGAGTCTTTTATTTGTTCGTCGTAGAGGGAGTCTTTTGCTTGCTCGCCCTAGAAGGGAGTATTTTCTTTGAAGAAATTATGAGATTATAACATGTATACAATCTCAATCAAAAAAAATTTTTTATAAAATTAAATACTCGATGATTTGTTTGCTCAGCTTGGAGGAGATTTTTTTTTTGTTTATCTCGGATGAAAGTCTATTATTTGTTTGCCTAGAAGGGTAGTTTTTTTTTTTGCTCACTCTGGAGGGGAGTATTTTATTTGCTCGTCCAAAAAGAGTCTTTTTTTCGCTTGTCTCGCAGGAGAGCCTTTTATTTGCTAGCCTCCTAGGGTAGTCATTTGTTTGCTTGTCGTGAAGGAGAGTTTTTTTTTTTTTTTTTTTTTTTTTTTTTTTTTTTTTTTTTTTTTTTTTTTTTTTTTTTTTCGTTGTTTGCTTCTCCTGGAGGCGAGTCTTTTTTTTTTCTCTCCCTAGAGGGAAATCTTTTTTTTTTTTTTTGCTCATCCCAGAGGAGAGTATTTTGTTTCACTACTCGGAACTAATTTCCCCGAGTCTCATTTGAACTTGGGACAACATTAGAGAAATTTGTTTCATAACACAAGTTAAGTTGTGAAGTAATACTCCCCTTATTTGTTGGATGAAGTGACAACCACTCAGAATTGACCAAGCGGTGCATAGGGTGAGTCCTCTGTTTATGTTCTCCTTGGGATCACATTCCAACCATTAAAGAAGATTTTAGGATTCTTCCAACAAGAGCATTGTGCCTCAGTGGCACAATACACTTGTTGGGGGTTCTTTGTTGGAATTACTTTTGGATGTCATAAATATTGGTGTCCGCTCAAGTGCTACATGATAGTTTGCAGCTTCCCTTAGCCTAGGGCATCTATCCAAACCATATGGTACGTGCATAAGTGTAGGATTGAGACCGGTACTGATTCATGCCCACCCAGGAAAGCTCTCCTTTTGGACAATAATAATTACAGGATCGGGACATATACTGGTTTATCCCCACCCAGGAAAGCTCGCTTTTTAAACGGTAGTAATTACAGTTTGAGATATGTACAATTCTCATTTTTATATTTGAGGACCATATTCTGCATTTTTTAGCGGTTCCCACGGTTTCAATGAGGCTTAAAGCCACTTTGACTGGCACTTCAGGTTAAAGGGTCCGGCGTGACCATGCCTAACCATGTCTGGGATAGGCATGGCCACGCCTCACCCTTGGTGTGACCATGTCGGAAACTAGTGTGACCACGCCCTTGGAAACCTAGGCTAGGCCTGAAACACACACGGCGTGACCACACATGGGGCGACAAGACCACACTGCTAGACAGAGAGCCCATCTTAATTACACAAGGTCTCAGAAGTGACAACGCTGAACCCTCATCTATGATGCCTTCTACAGTGGCATGACCATGCCCAATTTTGGTATGGCAATGCTATGACATCCCGAAGTGCGAATTTAGCCCGGTAGTCCCCGGATTTCCGGCGACAACACCTCCAGGACCACTGGATAATGCCTTTGGTCTAGTCCTTTACCCAAAAAAGGTATGGGACTAACATAGGGTCATTCTAAATGGGGAAAGGGGGCTTGAGGCCATTGGATATGAGCTCCCTAGGTAAGGAGAAGAGGCATCGATTGACATTTTGGAGAAGAGCTTTGAGAGTTAGGGGTAGGAGCTGAGTAAGAGATCTTCTTCTTCTTCTTCCTCTTCTCCCTTTTGATCTTCTTCTTCTTCCTCTTCATTTTATTATTATTTATCCATAGCTTTGGTGAGAAGAGTGTAGAGGGAAGCATTGGAGGAGGAAAGCTTAAGGATTTTGAGTGATTCTTCTCTCCATTCTTCTTCTTCTTCCTCTTCACTATTTCTTCTTTAGCCATCATCTCACCGGAGAAAATGGAGGGAAGAGGGAGATCTTACTTGGAGCTTCGCAAGAGTCTCCTTAAAGAGGAGAGATTCTTCCCCCTTGGAATAAATATCTTCACTGAATTTCGAGATTTCACTGGAGCTCGGGATTCCGCCAGACTCTCCTTTGCAATGAGAGCTTCATCTTCGCAATTAGAAACGTCATCAAACATCGTGTAGGTGATACACTATGTCCCTTGCAATTTCCTTTCATTGGGGAGCCTTAAGATTGTGTTAGAGATTGTTAGGGCTAGATTGCTTTTTTCGAAGAGAAATTAATTTTGGAGTATTTTGAAGTTATATTTTTGGATACATGAACAACATCGCCCAAAATTGGGGGGGACAACTAATGCGTCATCAAGAAATGTTTATCATATAGCATGAATCTTGATGCATTTTTAAGCAAGAAATATTCTAGATTCAAATTTATGATCATTCATGTCCCCATTTTCAACAAAGTTTCAAATTGACCATCTCGACAAGACAAACTCAATACTACCAAAATTGGTTTAATTCGAGTCCAATCAAACTAAGTTTAAGCTGTTAAAACACATTTAAATCAATAATTGATTGATCAAATAAACTCTAAGTATGGCATAGTTACACTCGAATTGAACATCTTAATAAGAGGAATCCAACGAATCCAAGCTCTTTTAATTCTATTATTTTAAAAGCTCTCAAATCATTAAAAACCCTCCTATAATTAAGAAGGATCAATGTGATCCGATCAGGTAGTTGGGGAAATTATTTGCCAAAAGATCAAACCCCCCTATTTTAGAGACTATAAATAAACCTCATCTCTTCACTTGAGAGAAGAAGGATAATAGAAGAAATTATGGAGTCTATTTTGGATTGAAGACTCGAGGATAACTTCCGACCTCCAAAACTACTCTTACAGCTTCCAACTACAACATTTGTGGCCAACTATTGCTATCATTGTTGAACTACTATTCTACATTTTATAATTCCATCTCTAATTCAGGACAAGAGTAAACTTATGTACTTATAATCACATGACGAACCGCTTCAACTACACTAGACCCCGTGATTTTTTTTTTCTCTTTTCAACATATTTCTACGTAAAAAATCTTGTGTCTCATTCTGTTACTTTTCTATTATTCATGTGTGTTGGATCTTTTGTGCAACACTGAGACATTAAAATACAATTCTACCGCCACGAATTTTCCAGCACACAACAAATGTTGAAGATGAGGTATCAGACATATAAAATCATTATAGTTTAAGAAAATAAAAAAAATAATCATGAAAATTTTTAAATATAAAAGCTGAAAAACAGACCGGTTAATTCTTCAACTTCCCAAATTGCACCGTTATGGTCGGCCATATGTAAATACTATTGAGACAAAATAATAAGCGTAAAAAACAAAAAAACAGGAAGCTCATATCTCTATAGAGGTACAGTTTGTAGAAATAATACAGCGATGATCCGTTTCCTATTCATTTCGAACCATGTACTCATCAATCTATGGGGACCAAACCATTAGATCTACCATTATATAAATATGACGTCGCACCTTACAAACGTAATTCGTAGAACCCTAGAATCGACGGCCCAGATCAACCAACCCTAATAATACACCTAAATCATTAAATTTATTATAAATTGAGTTTACAATAATTACATATATATAAATATATTCTCACCCACCATTGGAGTGAAAGCAAGCGAAGTTGCAGAGAATTATTCCAGGCCGAGCGAAGACGACGGATGCAGCTGTGTTTACTTACGAATGACAGTGAGCGCATCGATTTCGGGTCGCATTCCCTCTACTTTTCCTCTGATTCGAATCCAGTTGTTGCTTTTCCAGCGGTTGAATTGCTGCTGGATTTTATATTTACCCTTCGTCTTCTACCCTGTTCACGACGGTTAACGGTGGCTTTGTTTTCTCTCTCGTGGGGTTCTGGAAAAAGGTAATCCTGTTGCTGATCATTAATTTATTGTCAGAACAGAAGCCTCGTTGTTTGCACCGGTCTGTTTTCTCCTTTTAGGAAACTTAACTTAACTCTTGGCTTACATACAACAACTGCAAGCATTGAATTGGGGTTTCTAGGTCGGAAGATCAGTTACGGGTGAAGGTTAGGGTGAATGGAAGGCAGGGGGAGGAGATATGGAGCACAAGTGAGTCCGGAGAGATCCAAGGTATGGACGGAGCCTTCGCCGAAGCATCAGATTCAGCGGCAGCAAGGGGGGAAGGTTCCGGTGGTGTATTATCTCTGCAAGAATCATCATCTCGAGCACCCTCACTTTATTGAGGTCCCCGTCTCTTCGTCTGAAGGCCTTTATCTTAAAGGTCAGTGGAATGAAAGAGTGAAATTCAGCAAGCAATAGTGATCTTGTTTTTTTTGTTTGAATTCTTTATTGGTTCCGATTTTGTTATAGATGTGCTTAATCGGCTTGTTGTTTTGAGAGGGAAGCGGATGCCTAAATTGTATTCTTGGTCCTGCAAGAGGTAATTTGGCTGTTGAAAATAAAGATTTTTAGTAAAATTAGTCCTTGTATTGAAAGGTGTAGTGTGAATGGTTTGATTCAATTCTGATTCAGGAGCTACAAGAACGGATTTGTATGGCAGGACCTCTCTGAGGATGATCTCATACTTCCAACCCATGGAAATGAATACATTCTCAAGGGTTCTGAGCTTTTGGATCAGACCCCTCCAGGTAATAAATACGTGGTCCTATTACTGTCTTTTATGTTTGAAATTGCTTATTTTTCTTGATATGTTCTCTAAAGTTCATCAGTTAATTTTCTTCTGGTTCAGATAGGCTTCAAGACAATAGCAATAACCCGAGGCTGCAAAAGTATGTTCCTCCGCAACAAGATCAGTCCACATCTTCTAGACTACAGGAGGCCTCTTCTTCTTACTCTTCTCCTGTCAGTACAGTGAGAGAGGGAAAGTCTCCATCTCCACCACCACACAGAACACTTACTCCTCAGGAAGATGATAACTCTATTCCTCAAAGTTCATCTCCAGAAAGAGGCTTCCCCAACTTTGGAGATTGCAGGGTTTTCATGCTCAGTGGAGCTCAGGATGCTTCAACCCAAACAGAGGAAAGAGGAGAAAGGAGGGAAGATGAGACAAGGAATCAAACCACCGGTGTCTCAACTGGTGATGATTTGACCAATGTGATCCAGCAGAACCTGGATACTCCATCCAATGATGCTATTAAAGAGATCTCCCCAAGCAGAACTCCATCAAGTGCATCATCTGGAAATAAGATTGACACCTTAGAATCATTGATAAGGGCTGAAGTGAACAAATTCAATAGCTTCAGGATAATTGAGGAAGAGGTTGTTCCGACGAAACTAAAGTTGAAGAGAACAAATGTCCTTCTACAACTGCTCACTTGTGGATCAACCTTGGTTAAGGATCACCAAAGCTTAGGGTTTATACCTACTTACAAGCCCAGGTTCTTGAATATGAGATTAGGGACAACATTCCCGAGTTCAACGACGCTAAGAGAGCTTGAGTACATGACGGGGGGGTCGAGGGTGTTGAGGTTGGGGACTGAAAGGACTTCTTTTAGCAGAAATTCTGCTGAAAACTACCTAACTTACAGAGACAGTGGTGTTGAAGCATCAACCAGTATCAATTGCACACCTTTATACAATGGGGACATGTAAGTTGGACATCTTGCAATATTGAAAAGATCTAGGATGCGAATCTACTTTTCTGATAGAGAACATATGAAGAATAATAACCAACCCCATTTTGTGCTGCAAATCTGAAGTTATATTGAGTTTTTTGTATTTTTATTTTCTTTCTTTCAAACCATTAATATGGTCCTTTTTTCAAATCCTTCAAACTGGTTTTCTCCTTAGAAAAGAACTGGATCCTCACTAAGAATGTCCAAGTCGCTTATCACGTAATTTTATGTGTTTTTTTCTAAAGTTTCATAGTGCTACTTCATACTAACACGCAACATAATAAGCTTGCAAACTAAACCTTTATCTGTTGGTATTGGCCCAATCGTATCATTATTGAAATTTTTTTTTTGTCCCCATTGTTAGTGCTTATCCGCCTTTTCTTTTAATTTATCTAGCCTTATTGGATCGATTAAATGAAAATAAATGTGCTAAGGATCTATTATATTCGTATTACAAGTTTTACTTACTGACATGATCTAAACGGAAAATTAATGGTAATTACTCATAATGTTCTATGTATATTCTGACAAATTTAATTGTAAGCCCTCTATTTTTTCTTTTATATCTTTTTTTTTTGGAAGATTTACATACATACCACTCAATTCCTGTGTATTTACATATCTAACATACGAACTTCAATTTTTACATACATACCACCTTATCTCTGCATGAAAAGGTGTATTGCACTTTTTAAAAGTTAAAAAGGTGGTATTAGGTGGTATTCTTTATGTGTTATGTGATATGAAAGATTTGGATGGTATAAATGTAAAATGCAAAGTTTAGATGTTAGATATGTAAATACACAGAATTGGGTGGTATGTAAGTAAATGCCCCTTGTATTGATTTTTCTTTTGAGTCGTTTAACTGACATGCACTATTTGCATTGTTAATCTAATTAATTTTTTTACTTTTTAATATTGCATTTATGGTTGTGATTTCTCTGTTGTATAACATGACATTCCTGAAATCATATACTAAATAAATACAGGAGTTGCAGGTCACCTGATTTAAAAGGAAATAAGGAAAAGTCTGCAGATTTGGTAGGCTCTAACTCTCCATCAATTCAAAATCTTTCCAGCAAGGCAATGCTAAATGGAACTTTTAGGTCACCTATATTAGATTCTAGAAGCTCTTTGGCTCAACAAAGTCATGAAAAATCCCCATCTACGAGTTCATTAAGCTCAAGTAAAAGGACCGACGATCTTACCACAGCAAAAGGATCATCTGTAAGGGTGGAATCTATTCAAGAAGAAACTGAAAGGACAATCACGATTGAGGAAAGGTGAGCACAATAATTATTCTTCCTTTTCCTTCTTGTTTGGTACAGTGCATGTGATGCCATCTTTTGATTGTAATCTTCATCTTTGTTATGTGTAAAGAGTAAAATGCCAAAATAATCCTCTGGCTGTTTACATGGGGACATTTTTGTCCGAGAATCTGTCAAAATGCCGAATTAGTCCCCTGAATTTTTTAATTGGGGCCGAAATAATTCTTTGTGCAGATTATTTTAGCTGATGTTAGAAAAGTTGGGGACCAAAATTGGCGCTTATACAAACTTTATGGCTAAACTGACCCCTATGAAAAGTTGGGGGACTTTTTGGACACCACTTTCTATGTCTAAAGATATATTGTTTAACATACAGGCTTGCTTCAGGAGCTCGGATTATAATTCAGTCGAGAGTTCCTCCTGATTATAGTGAGAAAACTGCTGATTCTTGAAAGGAAGGTTTTCTTTGTAAAAAGTAATTGAATTCTGCACTTCCTAGTCAGTTGCGCATGGAGCGAGTTTCTTTTTTTTTCCTTGAATTTTGTTGCATGTTCTAATTTTATTCAATTTATTACCTATATCAATTGTGTAGCATAACCTTAATTCTTAGTACTGAAAGATTCCTGATTCAGAGTGCCCGCAATGTTATGACTTTAAGGGAAAATTGATTCAATAATCATGCACATATTTATTTATATGTAAACACACTCATCCTCTTTGTTTTAATGGCATTTATGAACCATTTAAATCATTTATTTTTACAGTTCCATTTTAAAGCTTTCCATTTTCGTAAAAGAAAACATTTGGAATCTTTCCATGAGCCATTGTGTACCTTTTTTTAGGTATAGCTCCATTTAACTCAGCTTACTAAAACTATGCTTTGGTAATAGGAGGTTAAAGGTCTGATGCTTCATGTCATTTTGTTGGCAAAATCATTAGGTGTGTGACACAAATGTTGAGTAAGGTGTGGAATAGGTCTGTGTTTAGAGTCCTTTACACACCTTTTTGTACCAAATTTTTAGTGTGTATTATACACCACACGCCAAGTCTTCTTTTATGCTTGTATATATATATTTTTTTTCATTGAGATTAGACTTATCATTTAATACCTAATTTTAGCACTTACATGCATTTTTTACACAATCGTTTCAATCTAGCAATAATGATCTAGTAATTGAAGAAACTGCCTTTTCTGACCTAATAAGAATAAAATATGCATACAATTTTCTCACTTAGCATTATGGATTTGATCAGAATTTGTAATGCTAAGCATAGTATCAATTCATTTGTGGAATACTGAATTAGAGTTTATATTTACTGATTGGGCTAAACTAGTCCCTAAATGAACCTAATCTACTCAGTTGACTTCTAAACATGTCGCATGCATGTTTGTATTGGATGGACTAAGGGTGAAATAGTTTTGAATTAGCACAAATCAATCCTTAACTCAAATTTGCCTATGCCAGCACGGTACGGTCAACCTATATTGATTATTTACATTCTTGCATGGGCTTGCGTAATCATGGGTGAGATAGATGGTGGTGGCATGCATGCGCCTCAATCATTTCTAATTACTCAATAATAAATTTGCATCCAAATTATTATCAAATTTTTTTTAATATATTTTATAGCATATTCGGGAAGTCTTTAAGACTAGTCTTTAAGCAGTCAAGTCCCGTCTATATAAGTGGTATAGAATGTCATGAAACATACAAAGGTGACCAAATAACTGGCAGTGGCAGGATACAAGTGGTCTTGTGGTTTGCAATTAAAGAGGTCAAATTGGATCATTTTATTGAGTTAAGGTCCAGCAGTCCCAGACAAATAGAATTAAAAAATGGGATGACTCTCGCACGTACAGTGATAAATGTTGCCTATGTTACTCGCCTCTACTAGATTTTGACATGGGTGTGTAACTAAAGAGCAAGTATGTGTGAAATGTGCGACTATCTCATTAGAGGAAAAAGAACATACTTCAGTTGGAGCTTTGACTAACCGATATTAAACTCTAGGTGGTGTTGTTCTAGCAAATAAGCTACACTGATCTCAAAACACTTGTGGGAACTCGTTACTTAAACTAGACTTAAACTAGACGATGGCGACTTTGTAGAGTAGTACCTTAACAGTGAAGCAGGTTGGTTCAGCTGGCAGATTGCCGGGGGTAGCGTGTAAAATGAGTCTACAATTCAAAGTAACCAAAATTGTTAATTAATAGTGGCCGGCAAGAACCCAGAAGACTAGAACTTAGTGCGTTAAGATTCATGCTGAAAATGGAAATAAAGTGAGTTGTTCATAGAACGTTTTCTCTTATGGGGATGTAATAAGGCAAGATAAGTCTTGGTGGTCTCTCCATAGTAAGCAAGGCTAAGGCATCGACAAGAGAGAACAAGCAATGAACACGGGAGTTGACAACTATTTAGCCTATTGTTCAAAAGGTTATGCTATCAATTAAGAACTAATCTAATGTTCTTATTAACTGGTAGGCCATATAGAAAGGGATTGGGTATAGTGAAAGGATAGACATAGTTTAAATCGGATGTAAAAATTTGTGAATGTTGCAAGTAAAGAGATCTATGATGCACTGCTTCTTAGTATAAATAGGTCCATAGAGTCATGATTCATTTTATTATGTTGCAGACAATGAGTTTATGACTAACTATTTGGTTGGGGGCTATGAAAGGTCACTTTTGTTGACTGTGATATCTCAAGTTTTATGGAGTTGTGCATATTCATGATGGATAATGCACCATTAGTAACTTGTAGAGGAGCTTGATCTTGATTGCGTGGTTTGGTAAGGAAGATTATATCTCAACCATTTCTGGTAATCTCTAGAAGGTGAATAAGGTTATCGTGGTAATAACATGGGGAAGCAAAGCTGAAGTCATGTACATGATAGGAAATATTGAAATAATGGGAGTACTATGAATGATGGATATGTGATGTGGGATTAAATTTCCATCAAATTGGCACCTTAAAAAGAGTAAATGGTGTTGTAAGGCAAATGATATCTTAGGGTCAAGGAGTAACATGACATAAAAAACAAGGTTATTTATAAGCACATAAATTAAAAATCATAGAACTGTGAAACTTAGCTGAATGTCGTTTGGTTGACTCAGAGGTAGCGGTGCACATCATTCACCATATTGTTTTATCAGATATTCTCTTCCTGTGTGTGTGTGTGTAACGTGTACATCATTCAAAATAAAATTTTTAGTATAAATTACAGAAAAGTAGGCCAATAATTATCATAACAAAATAAAAAAAAATCTGAATTATTAACCACCCACATATCCTGGAGGGATTATTGCATGCGGACACTGCATGCATCTCTGCATGCGGTGTCCGATCCTGACCGTAGTTCACGGTGATCTACGGTCAGGATTATTTCCGTTTAAAAAAAAAAAAATCGGTGGGGCCAACCGAAATACATCGGGACCGTAGATCAGGTGATTTACGGTCCGATTCGCATGGAATAATTTTTCCATATCCTGACAGGGACGCATCACCCTCCCCTTGAAGCCCGTCAATTAAGTTCATCAATTCTAAACTACAATCTACCAGCTGGTATAAAAATATGTCCAAATACAAGCTCTGGAATAAAATTTCAAGTATATATATTTTACTTAATTTCTCTTTGGCCAATTTGTGCGTTGGTAGGAACAATTATAGGGTTTAAATATGTTAAGCTGAGCTCTAACCCCCCCTCAGCTTTGACTTGACTTCAAATACAAGCTCTTGTTTAATTTAACCAATCTTAAATTGGCTTGCAAGTTGGCTCAATAAAATGATTTGAAATAATAAAAACATGAGAGATTAGACTAGCAGTCTAGGAATAATAGAAATTTATTTTATTAAAGTAATTGAAATATAAGTTTTAATAACTTCATCAAACTTAAAATGTTCTGGTCGCTAATATATTTTAAGTGTGTTGTATGATAAATTATCTTTTTAAAGAGCAGGCTCACGAGGCTTTGCTTTTTAACCTATTTGAGTTCGACTCACAAGCCATTTATTGAGTTGAGCTTGAGTCAACTCACAAGCAGACCCGTAATAAAATATTAAAAAAATTGCCCAGATAAAGATATATATTTCATTCCTCAAAAATTCATAATCGGCCGTTAGACCTTTGTGCTAAGTGACGAGTCAAGTCTGCGACCAAATATGTACACTTACGCGACAATTTATGTTTCAATTAAATCCCTCAATAGCTGGACTCGAATGTTCATTAGGGTTGTGCATTATTTGGTCAAAATTTTAAAGTATCGAACTGAATATAACAAGTTTGATTGATTCAGATCGGTTTCAAAAATATTTTTCAGTCTTTGGTTTATAATATCTCATTCGGATTTTTTGTTTGGTTTTAAATTCTTAATGTTCATTATACGCGTCATTAAATGAAGGATTCATGAAATTAAATTGATATTATAATGTAAGATATGTAATTCTTAAGTGATGTTTTGCTCCAACTTAGCTTTACGTTAAATAGGATTTTTCTAATCCGATAAATCTTGATTTATCAAACTCATATAGCAACCAATAGCTAATGAGCGAGCGATGGTGGAATAAATCCGTCTCGCAATTGAATTGAAGAAATTTGGATTTACGTCGTATAAGTGATGGAACGGAGCACTGAATTTAGTCTTTATTCTTTTGGTGTTTAGCTGGATTTAAGTTAAATTCATGATTAAATCCTCTTGATAGTATGCTACCAAACACCGCCTTAATATTTATTCATTACCAAACTCTAACTAACAATTTAATTTCTGTTTGTTCATAATCACACTATTGAAACCGAAGTAAATTTTTGTAAATTTTGGTTTGATCACTTCGGCCTAATTGAAATTTTGATTGATTTGAAGTAACAATTGATTTTGCCAATTTAAAAATCTATCCGCCGAAACCAATCAAATTTAAATATGGTTTTCTGATTTTTTATTTTTTTAAGCAAAAAAAATTGGGTGAGGGTAACTAAATGAATTTAAAATAATTTAATTGTATTTTAAAGTTATTAAAATAGAAAAAAAGTTAATTATTTATTTATGCATTGATTAATTTATTAGTTTTGAGTTTCAGAGTGTGTATAATGTTTAAATAAAAATTATAAAAAATAAAAGCTTGAGTGCTGGGCATGTAAATATTAAAATTTGGGGTGTTAGATATGTAATTACATACGAATTATGTGGTATGTATGTAAATGCCCATAAAATTTAAAATGAGTTTATTTAGTCACAAAATAAATACTACTTTTTGAGAAAAAAAAAAGAAAAAAAATTACTATATGACTTATAGATGATCTAGATATCCTAATATCAGAAAATATAAGATATTTATTAAAACATATATTTTTATTTATAAAATATAGTGGCATTTACATACATACCCCACAATTCTTATATCTTTACAGAATTAACATTTAAAATTTCAAATTTACATGCATACCACTCAATTTTTTAATATTACTCCAAAAATATCATTAAAATTATCTTTTTTTAAGTGAAATATATATATATATATATGTAAATTTCACAAAAATATCTTCTTGGCTAAAAATATAGATTGTCAATCAAATGTTAAAAAAAGGCGACATAAGTGTGATTTGACTTCGGCTGAACTAGTGCACGGTTTCCTATGGCCACTA